ACTCACCTCAGCCTCCCAAAGGCGCAGGATTACAGGCTGAGCCACCAAGCCCGGCAATTTATCTGAATTTAGGAATGAAATGTCAGAGCTCAGATAGCACTCCATTTATGAAATTAACAGCCTGTGTATTCTAAACAGTATAAAGAAAAGCTATTTATGAGAAAGTACTGAACAAATACTCTGTTTTAATGTCTCATTAAAAACACTAAAAGACTGTGTTTTAGTGTTTTATTAAAAAAAAAAAAAAACGGCCAGGCATAGTGGCTCAAGACTGTAATCCCAGCACATTGGGAGGCCAAGGTGAGAGGACTGCCTGAGCCCATGAGTCTGAGAACAGCCTGGGCAACTGGCAAGACCTCGTCTCTACAATATGTCAAAAAATTAGCTGGGCATGGTAGAGTGTGCTTGTATTTCTGGTTACTTGGAAGGCTGGGGTGGGAGGGATCACCTGAGCCCAGCAGGTTGGTGCTGGGGTGGCCGTGAGCGTGCCACTGCAGTCCAGCCTGGGAGACAGAGTGAGACTCCAACTCAGAAAAAAAAAAAACACAAAGAACTATTGTCAAGGATATAGGTAAAGATTTTCTAAGAATGAGAAGGGGTTCTTTCAATTTTGTAGTTAAATTATACTATACTTGAGAAATAGCATATGCCCTAAATATATTTTGAAAATTTGAGGGTTTGTGAAGTTCAGTGGATATTCCTCAGAAATTTGAAAATTCTAATTTAATTTACTCAGTTAAAATACATTTTATTAAGGTAGTAATTTACACATTATAACAAAATTTATTAGACTATACTATGTTTAAATCAGAGCAAATATTTTTAAATGTTTTTATATTAAACTATCCAAATAGTTCACTTTCATTTTTAATTTTTTTGATTTTTAATTTTTGAGTTGGAATCTCACTCTGTCAACCAGACTGGAGAGTAGTGGCACACTCCTGTCCACTGCAGCCTCGACCTGCTGGGCTCAGGTGATCCTTCCGCCTCAGCCTTCCAAGTAGCCGGAACTACAGGAACGAGCCACCATGCCCACTTTTTTTGATTTATTGTAGAAATGAGGTCTTGCCAAGTTGCTCATGCTGGTCTTGAACCTGCGGGCTCAGGCAGTCTTCTCATCTAGGCCTCCCAAGTGCTAGGATTATAGGTGTGAGCCACTGCACCCAGCCCACTTTCATTTTTTAAAAGTTTTCAACTCTTATCATTCCTGAACTCTTGGAATTAATAGGTCTACTAAAAGAGAATAACTCTTGGTACATCGGTTTGGTCGGTCTCCCTAAACCTATTTTTCAAAAATAATAGGGAATAAACTAGCTTCCACAAAGCACCATTCTTTTGGTATTTTTTAAAACAAAGAAGTGCATAAATTTTATGAACCTTAATGTCTACATATTAAGATAACCTTCAGATTTGTTTCTAGATCCAGTACTCAGGTAGGTAAATACAGTTTTCCGCAAGTCTTCAATAAACTTAAAGTTGTTAATATATAACACACATGGGTATAATCACAATTTAGGTTAGAGTAAGTAAAGACAATCAAAATATTACATTCTAAGTCTTACCATATTTGATGCATTCATATGTTGTATCAGCTTAGAATCAGGAACAATAACTTGTGGTGCTGTAGCTACCAAAAAAAAAAAAAATCAAGCACACATGCAAACAAGGAGCCATGAGGCTATTTTATAATCACAACAATGTTTTATATACAACGCTGAAAACTTTTTCATGTTTTCCACATTTTCTGCATTCAAATGCTCTCAACCATTTGATAACTTAGAATGTTATAAATTTCTATGGCAAGTAACAGCTGTGATATACTCATCCTATACTGAAAAACATCAACTAAAAATATTTAAGTGAAGCCGGGTGTGGTTCTATAATCTCGGCACTTTGAGAGGCCAAGGTGAGAGGACTGTCTGAGCCCACAGATTCAAGACAAGCCCGAGCAACTTGGTGAGACCTCGTCTCTACAATAAATCAAAACATTAGTCAGGCGTGATGGTACATACCTATAGTCCCAGCTAATTGGAAGGCAGAAGTGGAAGGATTGTCTGACCCCAGCAGACAGAGGCTGTGGTGGCCGTGAGCATGTCACTGCACACTTACCGTCATGCCAATGTCGACCTGCTGGGCTCAGGCAATCCTTCCACCTCAGCCTTCCAAATAGCCGGAACGACAGGCACTCGCTATAGCACCCAGCTAATTTTTTTGTTTATTTGTTTGTTTGGTTTTTAAAAATTTTTTTGTAGAGATGAGGTCTCGCCAAGTTGCTCAGGCTAGTCTTGAACCTGTGGGCTCAGGCAATCTTCTCACCTTGGTCTACCAAAGTGCTAGGATTACAGGCGGAAGCCACCACGTCCAGTCTTAATTTTTGATTTCTTGTAGAGATGAGGTCTCGCCAAGTTGCCCAGTCTGGTCTCGAACCTGTGGGCTCAGACAATGCACTTGCTTCCACCTCCCAAAGTGCTAGGATTACAGGCTGAGCCACCAAGTCCAGTCTCTGTACATTAAATACACTGGACGTTTCCAAACATAATTTTTATCTTGTTTTGCTAACTTAGCATTAACTGTTGGAATGAGTTACTAATCCATTATGAGTAAGATCAAAAAGCTATAACTAGTTTTCTTTAATCTACATAGTCCTTTCCCCCGATGTAGTTGCCAGAATCATCTTAATTTTAATGACCTTTTTTAAAAAAAGTATAAATCAGAAATCATGACAATGTTACCTAAGTGTAAAAGGAATTGTTTGATTCCGCAAAGTTCAGAGAATAGACAGATAATCCCATTATCCTAATATTCTCTGAGTGAAGAAAATCAAATTTTAATTTATGATGACCTCAAATCCTAGTGCCAGGTCTGAAGGCAAAAGGGGGAACAGTCATCAAAAAAAGTTTGAAAGGATAAAATTATTTTATGCAAAGTACAGATTAAAATCAGGTGTTAAAAGCATTATTGGATGCCAATGATAAAATAAGCCAAACAGACTTTTGTACTATCAATTTTAAGTCTTACATATATTTTTACATGAGGCAAATGGACAACTAAATGACTACTCTAAAATAAACCGCTCATTTGTCTTCACTCTCTTCTCCAATAACAGAGGTGCTGAATTAGAACGCCTAGGATATTTTATAACTGAATAGATGCTTGTCATGAGAGAAAATACTTGCCACATTTAATAGATCAAGCTTCTTAGCCTTTTCAGGGCCTAGGTTTTCCCAGCTGTAAAATGGAGCCAAGGGCTATTTTACAAAGCCCTTATAAGGCATCAATAAAATACATAGTATCTAAAAGATGATTTGCAGAATGAAAAGTACTATGGACATAGTACATACATATTTGTTTTTTCTAACCTTTAAACCAAGTAATATAAATTAAGATATGTTATAGATCCACTGTTAAATTAAAAGAAATCTAATTCAGTCAATTTAGACTTAAATTACTATGGAATTTTCACATTGCCAAAGTATATAAAACTCCAGTGTTTAAGATACATGAGAGGGGACAAACAAAAAACTGGAATTATCTTTTGGAGGGTGGGTTCCTTGTAGTACACTCAGAATTTGTTCCTCTGGATCAAATGGTCAACCAAAGTTTTTATCTTGAAATTTTGAGAAGACTGCGTTATAATTTATGGAAGAAACATCCCGAATTGTGGCAGACAGGTGACTGGTTCTTCTACCATGACAAAGCACCTGCCCGCAAAGGTGCTTAGTATTCAGTAGTCTCTGACCAAAAATGGCATGACCCCTGCACCCCACCCTCCCTATTCACCTGATCTCACCCTGAACAGCTCTTTTTTGTTTCCCTGGATGAAAAAATCCTCAAAGGAAAATGTGTTGCCCATGTGGAAGACATGAAACAAACAAAAAAAAACAGCAGAAGAACTAAAAGGCATCAAAACTGAGAAATTAAAAAACTGTTTTGAGCAGTGGAAAGCATCTCAATAGGTGTACTACATTAAATGGAGAGTACTTTGAAGGCGACTGGAGTTTAAACATGTAAGAATACACAATTTTTTTTTTTTTGAGTGGGAGTGTCACTCTGCTGCCCAGGCTGGAGTGCAGTGGTGTACTCACAGCCACTGCAGCCTCGACCTGCTGGGCTCAGCAATCCTTCTGCCTCAGGCGTCCAATTAGCTGGAACCACAGGCAAGCGCCACCACACCGGGCTAATTTTGCGATCTACAGCAGAGACGAGTTCTTGCCATTTTACTCATGCTGGTCTCAAACCCAAGTCAGGCAATCCTCTTGTCTCCACCTCCCAAAGTGCTGGGATTATAGGCGTGAGCCCCTGTGCCCGGTCTCACAATTTTTTACAAATAAATTCTGGGTTTTCTGGGATGGGATTCCACCTCAAACTTTTTTGTGATTTATTGCAGAGACGAGTTCTCACCATGTTGCTCAGGCTGGTCTTGACCCCAGTCAGGCAATCCTCTCGTCTCCGCCTCCCAAAGTGCTGGGATTATAGGCATGAGATACTGAGCCCGGCCTCACAATTTTTTACAGGGGGTCCACCTAGTATGTATGTATGTACATGTGTATTTATTTTTGAGTTAGAGACTCACTCTGTCGCCCAGGCTGAAGTGCAGTGGCACGCTCTCAGCCACCACAGCCTCAACCTGCTGGACTCAGGCGATCCTTCCGCCTCAGCCTTCCAAGTAGCTGGAATTACAGGCAAGAGCCACCATGCCTGGCTAATTTTTTTATTTATTGTAGAGATGAGGTCTCACCAAGTTGCCCAGCGTGGTCTCAGACCTGTGGACTCAAGCACTCCTCTCACCTTAGCCTTCCAAAGTGCTGGGGATATAGGCATGAGCCATCATGTCCAATCACCTTGTATTTACTAACACTAAACCGAAACATGTCTTTGAAGGAGCATGTTTTATAAAGAAATCAAGTACTCTTTTACCATATAAAATAATAAAGCCCTTAGTAAATAAACCTTTTTAGATCTAACTTGTTTTAGGAAATCCTTCACTATATAGCCTCCTCAAAAAAATATTTAAACAACTTATCTGAATATCATCTTAAGCGTTCGATTAGTAATTTATTTGTCTATCATTATTATACAGATAGTATCCATGTTTTATACAAATTCACACATATATATGGATACACACACATACACAGACACCCCTCAGTTAATAGAAAGGGAAAGAAAAACCAAATTCAATATAGTTTTTCTTTTTAGGTTCACCAAGCACCTCTTAAAAACAAGATCCAAAAAAATCCAGATCATTTCTCTTTTTTCAAACTGATAAATTTAACTTCCAAGCTATAAGTAGGAAAACACACCCAGCCTCACCTTGCTGCGATGCAGGAATAAGGACCTGCTGGGTCTGCGCCTGCTGAGGTACTGTCTGCTGAGGCTGAGCTTGCTGATGGTGGTGATGGTGGTGGTGCTGCTGCTGCTGGGGTTGATGCTGCTGCTGTACTTGCAACAGAAGCTGCTGCTCCTCTGAATGAAATCCATCTACTGCCCTGGACTGCATTAGTTTATTCTCCCATAACTAAGGCAAAGAACATCAAAGATTTCTAAGTGGAAGAGAAAATAACTCTGAACATATGAACAAAACATTTTTTATTAACCTGTTTCTAAAATCCTTCCATTTAAAAAACTGATTCTCTAATTTTAAAAACATTCTCTAATTTTCACCCTTAAAAATGAAAACTAATTTTTAAAGTATCAAACCTCATTTCTGCCACATCGGAGTACTGCGGAATTTCTTTTCTATATCTTCAACAAACTTTCTAAAATAATTCCTTAATTACCAGATATTTAGCAATGAGTTTCACATAAGCAACTTCTTTAGTAATCAAAAATAATCCTTTGTAAATCATTATTGAAACTATTATTAAACTATTTTTATGGAATTCTCTCCTTAATACAAAATTTTCTGCCTCTTAAATAACATACAGAACATAAATTCATCTAGAACAATGACAAAGAGGCAAATTCCAAGTCAGAAAAGCCCAACTTTCTATCTGTCCAATCCTACACAAGAAAAAAAAGAAACAGCAATGTCCAAAGGTCTTAGAGATTATCCCAACTCTTCACACTTCTTAAAATTTCCTTTCTTCTTCCATTATGCCAAGGATTGACAATTCTTTCCTGCTTAGCCACTTTTATTTTCTCATTTCAACCTAGAATAGTTTCTGGGATGGAAAAAAATGGATGGACAAAAAGAAAATATATGATTTTATCCTTCTCCCTAATATATTTCCTCTTTACCAAGTTTAGTGTTCAATCTAGAGCTCAGTCCTATAAGAAATTGTCCAAGAAGTCACAACTGTTCCCTGAAAATACAAAAAAACTTAATTCAGTCATTTGGCACACAAGGATCTCTACCTCCAGGATTTGCTCTGGTGGTACTGTCTAACTCACCTGAGGCTTCTATCAGATCCTTCAAGAAGTTCTCGTTGCCATACTCACAGATTTTTTATGTTCTCCTGAACTTCCAACTACCCTAGACACTGCAGATTTGTGTCTACATGCTAATAATAATTCCAACACATCTCCAACGGCTTACTGAAAAAGTGACCTAAAGGTGACTTTCCTAGTTCATCTCACTAGCAGGTTCACTAGCAGGCCCAGTATTTAGACTTGTTTGAAGTCTATTCTTACAGATAGCAATATTAACATATCCATGTAAAGCAATTAGAGTCTTGCATAAAGTCAGTAACCAGTAAATGTTAATTATTGGTGGTTGTGTGGTGGTGGTATTAACTGTTTAATAGAGCACTATATCAGAAGTCAGGAAACCAGTTAGTACTGGTTTGCTCATTAATGTGACCAAATCATTATCTTTCTTGGACACTTTCCTTATATAAAAAGAGGACAAATTGAATTAGATTACTTCTAAACTCCCAAGTCTCTACTAATCCTTCCCATAGTAACAAAACATTACTTTTTGAGAGCTCATGTCATGTCTGATTTATCTCTGCAAAGGTGGCATCTAGCAAAGCACAGCATCAAAACACGTACTTACATGCTGAGTAAAACATTATGACTAATGTATTATATACAGTAAGACTTCCAAACACTGCTATCACCCAAACCTTTTATATCTTTTCTCTTCTTCCAAAATAAAGTCTAGTTTCTTATGAGCAAAAATTCAAGGTGAAAAAACCCCTACTGATTCATGTTTTCAAAAATGGTTTTTAAACCATAATTTCCTAAATCTAATGCTTTACTTTCATCACCTCCAATTGGTCTACTCACTGTAATCTGGACCTATCACCTCATTATATGTAGCTAAGTGTTGGCTACCACAACTCACCTAGCCTCCCATGTCAAGACCTATGAGTCAGAATCCATCCCAACGCCCTTCCCCCATTACTGTCTATTTCTCTTCTGAAACATTGTTCCAGTCTATCCTTACTATTAAGGCCCAGATCTTTCCCCCCACCAGTATTACTGTCAAGTGCAGTGATGTAGCAACTGGGATCATCAAGTTTCCTGCATTCTGCAAACAATTGTTGTGTATTCCATATGTGCCACACACTGTTACAGGCATTGAGAAGAGATCATGAACAAACTGACAGAAATCCTTATCCTCACAGTCTATGTTCTGCTTGGAAACCTGTCCGACCCATTTATTCTCTATAATCAGTGGTCTTCAAAATGTGACTGGAAAGTCAGCATCATCATCACCTGGACAATAGTGAAAAATGGCAGTTTTCAGGTTCCACCCTAGGCCTAATGAGTCAGTAGCTCTGGGGTGGCCAGCAATCTATTTTTAACAAACTATCTAGGTTATTCTGATGTATACTGAAGTGAGAACAGCTGCTTTAGTGTCTAAACCACAGCTTTTCAAACTGAAAATCACAACCTATTAGTGAGTCATAAAAAGTCAACTTAGGCGGGGCTTGGTGGCTCAGCCTGCAATCCCGCGCCTTTGGGAGGCTGAGGTGAGAGGACTGCCTGAGCCCGCAGGTTCGAGACCCGCCTGGGCAGCGAGACCTCATCTCTACAATAAATCAAAAAATCAGCCGGGCGTGGTAGCTCATGCCTGTAATTCCGGCTACTTGGAAGGCTGAGGCGGAAGGATCGCCAGAACCCAGCAGGTTGAGGCTGCGGTGGCCAGAAGCAGCCACTGCACTCCAGTCTGGGTGACAGAGTGTGACTCCAACTCAAAAAATTAAAAAAAGAAATAGAACTGAAAAGAAAATGTCAGATTGTACTGCACAAAAAACAGTTTTGCAGATTTTTGTTATTCACACGTGTATAATCAAAATGCTAGTCAAGACTCTGTAACAGAAGCCCCCAAATCTGCATTTTAAACTAGCACTCCAGATAACCCTCACTCTAAAAACCAACTTCCTTAGTATGGTCTGCGTTACCACATGCCAACTGCTACTATAACTGGTAGTCTATTTTCTCACAATATCAAGCTACTTGCAGTTCCTTGAATACAAAATACACAAATAGCTCTATAGACCATACCTTGTGGTCAGTAGTCTTGCCTCACAATTCCCTAAACAAGATAAATTATCGCTGTCACAACGGTATCAAAGAAAAACAATCACTCACTGCCTCTGTGCATGTGAAACATTTCCAAATTTTATACTTATTACACTGTCTGCCATGTCTACTAAAGCATGAACTTCAGAGCAGCAACTGTTTTATTCAAGATCTAACTAATAACTAAAAACTTACCAGTTATTTAAAATTGATTCCAAAGAAGAAAAGGGGAAACAAACTATTATCCTCTAGAACAGTGTTTCTCTATAAGGATGCTACTGAGACTATAGGCAGGATATTTCGTTATTGTATGGAATGGTCCCACAGGAAGTATGCAGGAAATGCAACATTCCTGACTCCTGACTAATAAATGCCAATGGGGTTTACTAGTCATCATGAAATGAGAACATAGCCTCATAATACACTTTCGACAGCTTTGGGGGCGGGATTAAGGTAGTCTATTGAGATTCAGTACTTACCAAGTTCCATAAAACTGTTCTAGGTAATATGAAAAATACAAAAACAGTATCATACATGTAAAGTTCAAACTAATTGAATACTTCACAATTTCTTTCCAAATTCTTTTTTTTTAGTTTCATTTATCAGAATATTCTATTTAAAAATTATTAACCGTCTAAAAATAAACAATGTAACACTGTTTTGGCAACAGTCATCATAATACTATTGAAGATAATACTGAATTGTTATTTATCTACTTATTTTGCTTAGAAAATAAGAACTCTTCTTACTCCTCGTTTTTATAGTACTCCCTTTTCCCCAACAAGGACTATTCTTTCTGGCAGCTCTACATCAGTAATCTTTGCCAATCAGAATGAAGAAAATTCATCTTCTGTTCCCTAAATGATTCAGATATGCAGTTTGTATATCATGTTAACTAGACTAATAACTAAAATTCAGGGAGTTTTGTGCACTTTCTAAATACATGTACAGACTCATTTTTTAACAAAAGTCAGGTCTGATAAGCATTGTTATTCAGGAAAAAGCTCCAAAGAACAAAAAGCTAGATAATTTACCCAAGATCACCAACTAATAGTGGGCAGAATTGGGATATACCCAGGCAGTCCGACTCCAGCATGCTAGTCAGGACTGGACCCTGAGAGTGAATGTGAATGTTTCTCTGAATTCTGCACGCTAGGCACCTTGCTTGCCTCACCATATGCCAGCTCCAGTTCAATCTCCAACTTGTACTGCTGCTATCAGAGCAGGTGACTGACCCTTAAAACCATCTCAGGTACCACCCATTAGCAACCCAAGATCTAGTCACAACTCTGGAGCCTTCCTTCCTTCTTACTGTTAAGTATTGTATATATCACATGAAGGCAAAAGGTCTAGGTGTATGTCTCTAACACTTATTAGTTAAATAATCTTGTCAAAAAAAATTCCAATTCTACTTTCTCATCTATAAAATGTGATGAGATCTACTGCTCCCTGGCAGTATGGTAGGTTAGAAATTTTGAAGAATTACCCTTCTTTCACAAAACATCTAGCTCCTAGATAAAGCATTACATTTCTGGGCTCCCAAGAAACGATGCTGGAGATATAGGGCTTTGCCTAAATGCAAACTAAATGAAACAGTAGATTATCATTCAGCTTATGGTCCAAGTATTTATTTATACCTGGAGTATATTAAGCATCTTTATATAACTAGAGTATATTTACAATAGTGGTCCTCAACCAGGGGTAACTTTGCCCCCTCGGGGACTTTGGTAATGCCTGGAGACATTTTTGGTCTCAACTGAGGGGTACTGCTGGCATCTAGTGGGCAGAGGCCAATTATGCTGCTAACATCCCGCAACAAAGAATTAACCAATGAAAAACGTCAATACTGCCAAGGTTGAGAAATCTAACTAGAGGCAGATAAACTGAATTTCAATTTTATTTCCAATTGAGGAAACTCAATTTGTTTTGTTTTATTAAAAAGGCCATGTTTTGTATCGCTCACAGTACTTGCTGTTTAGATGATAAGGCAGGTCTGAGGGTCTGGAAATCAGGAAAATTTTATCTTTCACTTTGAAGAGAATTTATGGAGTGTCATTTCTACCCACAGTCACTCACCAATCCAAAACACATTTTACACTCAAATCTAGACTTACTGAAAACCATGACTTTTTTTTTTTTAATGTTTTTTCTATCTCCCATAGTTTACACATTAAAGTAGCCCCAAAGTGGTTCAAGAGACAACTTCAAGAATTGGGATGACAGTTCTTTATAAACCATGACACATAGTTTTATTAGCAAGAATGTCTAAACCTGAGAAGTCCAATAAAGTAGCCACTAGTCACATGTGGTTATTTAAGCTTAATTAACAAAAACTCAGTTCCTCAGCTCTACTAACTACATTTCAAGTGTTTAGTAGCCACACATGGCTAGTAGCTACCATAATGAAGAGCACAGACAGAACATTTACAACACTGCAAAAAGTTCTATTGGATATTGCTGGCTGTCCAGCTGATAAATCTAGGGCACACTCTAGAAATTCTAATGAGATCCTGAAGAAATTCAGTGCAAGGAATTAAAAAAAAAAAACAACTCATTTTAATCTAGTTTTATTTTTAACTCTAATTATAACCAGGCATAAAAAAGTATGGCCCATTTAAAAACAACTTATTGTATACCAACCACATACGCCAGGCATCGTGGCAGAACTTTGGGATTCAAAGTTGAGTTAAGGCCGGGCTCGGTGGCTCAGCCTGTAATCCCATCGCTTTGGGAGGCTGAGGTGAGTGGATTGCCTGAGCCCGCGGGTGCGAGACTCGCCTGGGCAACTTGGTGAGACCGCATCTCTACAATAAACCAAAAAAAATTAGCCGGGCGTGGTAGCCCACGCCTATAGTTCCGGCTACTTGGAAGGCTGAGGTGGAAGGATGGCTGGAGCTCAGCAGATCAAGGCTGCAGTGGCCGGGAGTGGCCCCTGCACTCCAGTCTGGGCGACAGAGTGAGACTACA